GTGGCACAGCGGTGTGTCTGCGGACTTACAACGCAAGAAACCGGGTTCCGCTACCCGTGGTGGGCAGAGCACGGATAGCCCATTGTGTAGCTTTGTGCTTAACTTCAAACAAACAATTATCCATCCAGCCTACAAGTTGATCATTCGATGTAAAATAAGCAATATATTGATTTTCTCCGCTTTCATGAACAATTTAGTTTCTCTGTATCTTGGAATTAGATATATCAGTGAACAAGAACTGATATCTAAACACGGGACTTTTTGACGTTCATGGAAAGTACAAATTATGCATCTCAGAGACAAGTTTATAGTAAGCACAAGAACCAGACACTTGTTAAACCAATGATGTTTGTATCCACTGATGGGTACATTGTGTAGAATCTTGGCAATGATGCAACAATAACTCATCACATATTTCCAATGATGTTGGAAATGTTCACATTTAGATATAACCAAGTGACGATGGTTATTAAGGAGAGGGGATTTAGGGATGCATTAGATCCCCTTCATGAACTGGGTGTGAAGACTCAGGAACTATTCTTTCTCTTGAAATTATGTGACCAGCATGCTACATTAGAATCCATATGAATACAGTTAATAATAAAACATAAGAAATATTTAATGTGGGCATTCTAAACAACTAGTATAAAATACCTGCGATTCGAGGGGTTCAAATGTCCCCTCATGATCCACATAGGCCCCAGTATATCTACCAAGATCCTCTGTTTTCTTCAATTACTTCTATAGTTACCCCAAGGGGTCCGTACCTCAGCAAAAATCACATTAGGTATCTGAGCAAGTATGCAAAGTTTAGCCCGCTAGCCTACGGATGGGGTTAAGAAAACAGTTTGAAACATGGTGCTCCCAGGATCCCGAGGGGATCCAGGAACACAGAATTCGATAACAGATTCTGGTTCAGCGACTTTGAAAACCCACTCCTAGACCATTACCATGCTTGATTGACCGTCTGGACTATTTTATATCTTCTTGGTATCTGTTGGAGTGGGGAGAGGAAGTGCCACGCAATATATATATAAGAACATCCCCGACCCACCTGCCAAGTTTGGTTCTGCCAACTCCAAAACTATGACAGAAGTACGCAGACAAACAAACACATTTGCAAACATACTCATAAACAATAATAAAGAATAATAATTTCATTACATGTATTGGGCTTATAACGCTAAAAACCGGGTTTCGAAACCCGTGATAGGAATAGCACAGATAGCTCATTGTGTAGTTTTGTAGTTAACACTAACAAACAAATAATTACATGTATTTCTCAGCTTCAGTTTTTAGAGTGTCCGAATTTGTTTCGTTTGTGTAAAGCTTTTGTTTGTTTTTTTACGTATGATTTATGAGCCAACATTTGATTATGGTAGTTACTTGCATTAAATCTTACTTGTAAGCTTCAGTTTTTTATTCATTTTTAAGTTAGTTAATAATAGCATGCATAAATTGATATATGAGATATGGGTACATAATTTCTTTGTTTGTTGTTAAACACAATGCTATACAATGGACTACCCGTGTGTTGCCCACCACGGGCATCGAAATCCGGTTTTTAGCGATGTAAGCCTTCAGTTTTATTGCTGAGGCACTTGGGGCATGTATATACTTAACTGATATTTTAAAAATATATTAATCTTAAAATGAATCTACAAAAACAAAATGTACATATTTGTAGCTAATTCAGGTACTTTAATGATCCATATAAACATCGTTATTATTTTGTTTCTTGTTTGAAATTAGTTAGAAACTCAAAATTTTGTAATAAACTATACCTGTGTTAGTTCGGTCAAAGGACAAAAGAGATGTTGAATTCTTGAAGTCCGATGTATCGACTAATGAATCACTGACGTGTGTTTTAACCAATAAAACGTTGCCTGATGCATTAGACAAAAATGGAACAAGTCGAACATTAAACTCGTTAGTGAAAATCAGTCCAGAGATTAAAATAATTAAAATGACTGCTTGAAAAACAATCAAACGGGTGAATACTTTCCAAGACATGTCGTATGTCCAGCTCAACTTCCAAATGTATCCGAGGGATACAACTGCTAAACAGAAACAAATATAAAATATCATGTTACATAGGCTGCTATTTATGCATACCTCAGTTGAAATGAATAAATAATATTTAGTAAACACGTAATAAAATTCTATACAGAGAGAAACTACAATAAATAATTACACCGTTACTGCCTTGTGAAACCTAATCACAATACTTTGTTTAAATAGCTCCGCATAAGTTAAATACTCTACTCAAGTTATCGTACTATTTAGTTTAATTCTTCTCGCTGGACGATTTGTACTATTACTTAGCTTAATCAAATTACAACATATATATCAGTAGTGGCTGTGGTCGTGCCCATTGTGAAATTCGAGGTATGATATATTATATACATTAGGAATACATAAACAATATTAAGGACACCACATTTGAGTGAGAATTGACAAATAACAATAATACAAGTTTATTCAATAATAAAATATAGACTGTTGATTTTATATTTAAGACCATCACCTACTGCACTTACTTAACAGCTGCGTTAAATTACGTTTACTACGTAGTCGTTACTTGTAACGAAAGCACATTATAATAATATGTCTTAAGAAGACAGAACAACGTTCTTTCAAAATATGAGGTATATTCCCCAAAATAAAATGGCATTTTTATACTTTTAAATCGTTCCTCGCAATGGCACAGCGACAAGTCTCAGGACGTACAGCATTAGCTAGCACAGATAGCCCATTGTATAGCTTTGTACTTAACTACAAATAAGCAATTATAAATCATTGTTTGTCGGTTTACTATTGTTGCGTAGTCGGCCGGCGAAACATCATTAAAGCAACGAACCAATAGTATAACTCATGCTAATTGAGGAAAGAATGACGTGCAACAGAACAATTAACCTTCAGAAGCACTGCACTTTCAGTTGAGCTTGGCATGCTTTCAATTAGCTTTCAGTTATGATTATGATTCAAAGTATGTTTCGACAGAAGATAAATGCGTGATTTCCGATATTTCAACTTGAGCGCACATTACAACAAAACTCTCCTGCAGATAATGTGGATGCAAAAACAATCTTATCAAAGATAGAAACTAAGAAACGTTGTTAGGGAAGTATCGTATAAAGCAATCCGCCACTTCAATTTAAAGAGCTATTTAGCTTAAATCAATCAATGTAAACTATTTAAACAGTTAAAACTACTGTAATTAACTTAAGTCAAGTAACTGTTTCAGTGTTAAATCTTTCTTTGTTAATGTGCTACAGACAGTAACAGCAAGGAAGATTTTAGCCTTATCTCGTTCCTACCTCAAGTTGCTGCCAGTATTCGTAGAAGTGTGGCGTACGAGAGTAACACTATATTTAAATATCAATACACGTGGATGACTATTAATAATATGTCCAGATATATTTGCCAGCTGCGAACACCAAAGTCAATATTATTAGCTTTCACTCGTACTGTACTCTGAAAAACTGATGGTGCTATATCGAAGTATAAAAAAAAAAATGTCTACACTATCTGTGAAGCACTTTTCCGCACCTTGACTTTGGATGTTAATTGCTAGCTACATGTTTTATTATTCTCAACAATTTTTTTTTTCATAGTACTAGCAGTATTATGAAATTTTAGTTAATAGTGTTTTGTGGTATTTTATATTTTTGGTTTGTGAAGAATAGAGATTATTCGTATAAAAATATTAATAAAAACGGACATTTAGTGATGGTAAAAAATGGTGTTCCTCGCAAAATTACATTTCACAAATAACTGTATTGTGAAGTAATATTCCTTCATTATTTGTTAATTACTGTTATTATGCTTATATTTTACAACCTATTTCTCTGTAATTTAGATGAGCTGTCACCTCAGTTTGTTTACGCATGATGTCACTTCACATACCGTTAGAACTGACAATTTATTATCATAGTGAGACAACATAACTGACACTTGGTGGTGCCTAAGTTATGGTCATGGTGATTATGGTAATATGTTAACCAGCTTGTCACCCTGTGTAAAAAGTCAACTTTCAAAATCTCAGTACATTGCCCTACAATGTAATAAAGCCAACTGTCTTACAACAACGTGTTTGCAATCTAAAGATAAGTGTCTCATCTCCAATGTTCTTTACAAGCTTACATGTAACATCTGTCATTATACGTACATAGGATAATTTGGAAGAACCCTACATACAAGGATAAGAGCACATA